CCGGCCGGTCCGTGCGCCCCTCGGCACCGGCCCACGCGCCAGGCAGTGGGGTACTGGGAAAAAAAGTAACGAGTGGGAGACGCGGGGTTGGCCGAGCAACTTTGAAGTTGTCGCGGAACGCCTCTGCCAGGCGTCCGGACGCCGCCCCCGGCCGGCGCGCCGGCCCCGGCTCCCAGGTGGTCGCCGTCCGAGCAACAGGCTGACGCTCGCCCTCCAACTTGGGACGAGCGGGGCTTCAGCTTGTGTTGAACCCTCCACACCTAGAATCCTATTTAGGGGGAAGAGGTGGCCGCCTGAGGTGACTGGTGTTCCTTAGGGGAAGAGAAGGAGGATTTGTTGTGGAAGTCCCCAATAGTTAAGCGGTTTGTGGAAGGTGGGAATCTGGGGGAGTTGTATCTTAATTAGGTACATCTGAAGCTGGTGTTCCCCTCGGCCATACTTTGAGAATCACTGTGTGTGCACGGAGGGTTTTAGAGTTGGGTGCCCCCTTTAGGAGGGTTCCAGTTGTCTCGGAGGAAGACTTGGGGGGGTGTTTGAGGGTTCGTTGTGGGTATTTGATTGGGGGGCTGATTTCTAAAATTGCCTGTTTATATGGGGAAGGACTGGGAAGTGGAGTTTGTTTTTAGAAGGCCTTTGAGAAATATGATAACCTATTTCCTCTTATCTAGATTTTGAGAAGAGGGGGAAAAAGGAAGTCTGTCCTGTCCTGGATCAGTTTCTTTGTCATGTAGCCAAGACTGGGGAAACCATGTAAGTTGAAAATAGCATTGATGTTGCAAATCTACAACCTATCATTCAGAATGATGGAGAGAACAAGTGTATTTTAGAAAAATAATCTGCCTAAATTGAGAAGACATCATTGAAAGAATTTAATAATATATAATTTTGCATGCTCTTCACTGAACTAAAAAAAATTACTTTAAAGTTATCTATGTATCTCTATCTCTGCTTTGGTTTACCTGGAGAACTTTTGCTAGAGAAAAGAATGCTTATTCCAGTATGACCCATTTTGGCCATTGCAAATGATCATAGTTCCAGAATTTTGTGGCTTTGGTTTTGTTTCAGAGACTTCTGATGTTGGTTTTTCTCATATTGTCTTGTATTCAACCTCTGTTGTCCTATTTGTATATGCAGATGTTTGAAGTGTGACTTCTTTTTACTGTTTGGAGGAGTCAGGGATGATCATCTGACAGATACCAGATGGCAACGTTTTGACTGTCCTGTAAACTTTTTAGGTTAACTAACTTATTACATATGCTCAACATTTTGGTAGATTTGTATTCAAATGTTCCTAATCTGAAATTTATAAAGTTGGGTTATTTTGAAAGGGAAAATTCTTGTTTATTCTGTAGTTTGTATGGTAGAAGTTACTTTTGGACTTCGGCTATATTAGTCTGTGAAAGATAGTATAATTTTCCCAGTCTTATTTAGATTGTAGTCTTGGGGCAGATTTGAGGTGGTGAATAGGAAAAGTTTGGGTTTAGTGTTATATTGGCCTTCTACTTAAGTGTGTAACCTTCAGCGAGTGATGTGTAATTTCTGTCTTTATTAACAAGTGTTTATTTCTCAAAGATTTGCTTTGGGTTATGGTCTAGCCTTTTTAGGAAGAAAAAAACTTCAGGTGCTGCAATGCAGTATATAACCAGCTGAACTTCCTCAGTGATTCCTTTAAATACCCCAGTCAAAATGACTATGGTGTGTTTAATACTAATATTTCTATTATATTTTAAAATTGATCCTTTTAGTGAAAAAAATCATTTTTAACTCCGTTACAATCTTTTATAGAACATGTTGGATAAAAAACATTTTTTTTCATTGGTTTGAACTTGAAAGGTCTTGCCACACTGTTGCTGAGACCTGCCTGTAGCCCTTTTTTGAGCGGTTATTTTTGAGATCTTCCTCTCTGGACCTCAATCCATCTATTTCAGCAGGGATTACAGGCATATACCACATCTCCCAGCTTCTTCTAGAGTATAATGAAATCCTACAGATTTTTCTTTCTCACCTGGCCTCCAATCCCTTATCCCCCTGTTCTCAGCCTCGTGACACCTGTACCTGGCTACATTTTGATTTTTTTTTTGGTGGGTGGTGGGGTTTGAACTCTGGACCTGGCCACTGTCCCTCAGCTCAAGGCGAGCACTCTACCACTTGAGCTACAGTGCCACTTCCAGTTTTCTGGTGGTTTTATTGGAGATAGGAGTCTCACTGTCTCTCCTGCCCGGGCTGGCTTTGAACCCTGATCCTCAGATCTCAGCCTCCTGAGTAGCTAGGATTACAGGCGTGAGCCACCAGCGCCTGGCTACATTTTGATTTTTTAAAATTAATGGGCTATAGCTCAGTGGTAGAATACTTGCTAAGGCCCCATGTCAATTCCCAAGAGTGCAGGAAAAACAAAACTATTAGTCATGGTATTTTACACCTGTAAGCTACTTGTAAGCTACTTGGAAGACAAAGGGTATAGAATCTCTGGTTTGAGGCTAGCTTAGGCAAAGGTATCTATGGAACCCTGTTTTAAAAAAAAAACAAAAAAAGGAGTGAGGGCATAACTCAAGTGATAGAGCCCTTAAGATAGATCCTGGGGTCGATACCCATTATGGTAAAAAAAAATATTATTTTTGGGTGCAAAGTCACTGATTGGTATTTATATGGATTACCCTAAAAAATCTAGGTGCCATCTTTCATAAATAGATTGAAGCTCAGCGCCGGTGACTCACGCCTGTAATCTTAGCTACTCAGGGAGCTGAGATGGGAGGATCAAGGTTCAAAGCCAGCCCAGGCAGGAAAGTCCATGAAAGTCTTATCTCCAATAAACCACCAGAAAATCGGAAGTGCTGCTGTGGCTCAAGTGGTAGAGCGCTTGCCTTGAGCTGAAGAGCTGAGGGACAGCGCCCAGTCCCAGAGTTCAAGCCCTGCTACCAACAACAACAAAAAATTGAGCCCTAGAATAAAATACTTAGATTGCCACCCTTCCTTTATTGTTGATTGCTCCTGTAACTTCTGTGTAATACCAGAGGAGAAGCATTTATTTAGAAACTTTATGATCTATAGGATTATCTCAGACTGGAGATAAATACTTGGAACCTCTTATTCTGTTTATCAGGTCTGTCAAAATGCCTTCTCTTTTTGATAAAATACTTTGCCTATAAAAGTATTAGTAGTTGAAAGTTTCTAAAAGAAAGCCTTTTAGTATTCTGTCACACTGGATCACCAAGTTGTTAGGGAAATTAATCTGAATTTTTCAGTTATTTTGTCCTGATAGAGGACTTCGAAACTCTGCATGCCTACAACTACATTCAGGCATTGGTATTATTTAGGTATTTTGTAATGTACAAGTTGGTGCTTTTAGATTCTTTATTTTTTTTGTTGTTGTTGTTGCTCATGGGGCCTGAACTCTGGGCCTGGGCACTGTCTCTCAGCTCTTCAGCTCAAAACTAGCGCTCTACCACTTGAGCCACAGCACCACTTCTAGCTTTTTCTGCTCATGTGGTGCTGAGGAATCGAACCCACCGCCTTATGTATGCAGTGCAAACACTACCACTAAGCCATATTCCCAACCCAAACTTAGCCTCCTTTTTAAGAAAAATCTCCCCTCTTCACTTCTGTGTGTGTTGATATTGGGACTTGAACTCAGCCCTTTTCACTTAAAATCGCTCTATCATTTGAGGCATACCTCTACTTCTGTTTTTTTTTTTTTTGGGTTAATTGGAGATAAGATTTTATCTCCAGTTTGTCTGCCCAGGCTAGCTTTGGTTGAATTGTGATCCTCAGATCTCAGTTTCCTGAGTAAGGATTACAGGTATGAGCCACCAGCACTGAGCTAAAAGTTTTCCTTTTTTTGTTTTTAAATTTTTTATTGTGATTAAGTGATTACATAAATTTCACAGTATTGTGAGATAGTGATACTTTAAAGTCACAAACACATTCTAACCTTCACGAGGCAAATTGTCATTATCGTGGTCTATAAAGTTTGTGAATTCTATGAGCTTTGACAATACAGCTGTTTCTTGCACATTGGATGATATGTGCATTTCTTTCCTTTTGCTTAGTGTTAGCTGTTCCCCCCTCTTTCCCTCTCATTCCTCCCTCCCATTGCTGCTCTTGAGTTGCTTAGTTCGTTTTCATCAATGTCCAGTGCAGCTGATGTATGTTTTCCCCCATTTCCCTCTAATTCTGTGTCCTAGTTTCCCTCAGATATGTGCATATATACTAAATATGTGATCAACAGTATGGGGTCATTTAGTAATGACAAAACAAGGGAAGTGTGGAGGTCCTTTGTTTCTCCAGTCCTGTTTACTTTGTTGTATGTCCTTACATTTTGTATTTAACATCCACATTTCAGGGAGACCATGTGCCTTTTGTCTCTTTGCTCTTGGCTTACCTCACTCAAAATGATTTTTTTCTAGTTCCATCCATTTCCCTGTGAATGCCATTATTTCGTTATTTTGTCCTTTCTAATGGCTGCATAATATTCCATTTATATAGGTACCACAATTTTTGGATCCATTCATCTGTAGTGGGGCATCTGGGTGGTTTCCATCTTTTTTTTTTTTTTTTTGTGGTGCTTGGAATAGAACCCTAGGCTTTTGTGAGGCTGGTAGCCTCTGAGTTATACTTGCTGCCCAAATAGTGGTTTCGTTTGTTTTACTTTTTTTTATTCCTTTGGTGCTGAGAATTGAACACCAGGCCTTGGTTGTGGTAGGCTAGCATGTTCTACCATTGAGCTCCATTAGCAGCCTGATTTCTTTGTATCACTCTGATCATACCCTAGTAATAATTATTGCCATTCCTAGGGCTTGAACTTTTTTGCTATAGGTTTTCTTGTTTTTGACTAGTACTCTGCCACTTGAGTCACATCTCCAGTCCAGCTAGTTAATTGGAGATGGAGTCTTGAGGACTTTTCTACCCAGGCTGGTTTTCAACCAAGATCCTCTGGATCTCAGTACCTGATAACTAGAATTACAGGTGTGAGCAGTCAGCACCTAGTTCATAAATGTTATCTTTTGAGGCTGAAATTTTGTTTTCTGTTTTACATTTATAGCTAAAATGAAGCTTTTCTAGTGTGTAAAGTTTCTAATAGAAAAATGAAACTTTGAAGAAAAGCTACTCAGATCTCTTTGTTTTTGTGTGGGTAGGTTGTAAAGATAAGACTTACATAGTTCTGGCCATTTTCAATGAATGATAGCTAGAAGGTGTTAACAGTGGTACTTGACACTTTGTTTATGGATGAAAGTCTGACAGTACAGGATATTTTTCTTTCAAAAAACTAATGATTTCACCCTTGAAATTTTTAGCTTGAGGACGATTTGGAATTCAAAGTATAGACACTATTATTGAGGAAGGGGTTATAGGAAAATTAAAGAGTTTTGAATTATTTTTCTTCCTAGTCTTCTAAAGTTCTCCACAGACATCAAATGTAGGAAAGATGTCAGGACATTGAGCACTAAATTGTTAGGAATAGAGGTAGTACATAGGTGTGTAACTAAATCACCAAATTAATGGTTTGTTTCTACTTTTTTTTTTTTGTATGGGGGGAGTCCTGGGGCTTGAACTCCGGACCTGGGCATTGTCCCTGAGCCTCTGTGCTCAAGGCTAGCACTCTACCACTTGAGCCACAGAGCCACTTCTGGGCTTTTCTTTGTATGTGGTACCACTTCCGGCCTTTTCTTTGTGTGTGGTACTGAGGAATCGAACCCAGGGCTACGTGCATGCAAGGCAAGAACTCTACTACTAAGCCACATTTCCAGTTTTTA